AACTGGCTGTTGGTGGTTTGGCAGGATGGCACAGCCTGGGTGGAGGCTCATAAACGTCAGGGTCTTGTAGCTACCTTCCTGATTCTTTGTGTAACCAGGCTGTCTTTCCCTGCCTTCTAAGAACCTATCCAAGGGATTAGAATATTCCTACTTTTAACCCCTTTTACAGGACTCTGGGGAAGATTAGGAAGTCTATAAAAAGACCTAGGAAAAAGTTGGTATACAAATGACAATTTTTGGTGCTTCTTGATTTTTTCTTTTTTTTTTTTTTTATTAATGTGTAATTTGTTTATAGTAAAGCAGACAAGTCTTAAGTGTATAGCTCAGTGGTTTTTTTTTTTTTAACAGATGTATATACCCATGTAATCACCACCCAGATCAAGACATAGAACATTTCTAGCACTTCAGTAGTCTTGGTGATTTTTATAGCAGCTAAGGATTTTATTTGTTTACTCCAGTCCCCTTAAGTATCTCAGAGGCATTATATTATCCTTCTGTTACTCATTCAGCATGTTTCCCAAACACCTAGTAGTGGAGAGTGCTGTGCTAGGTGTTGCTGTGGGTTCAGAAATGAGTAATTGTTGGCCTCTGTCTTAGGTTCACAGCCCATCAGGGATTATGACTAGGATCCAATGGAGACTGAGAAGGGCTGTGAGAAGCGGCTTGAAGGAAAGAGGCTGCTTCTGGCTGGGAGAGGAGAGTATATATATTTACATAGCCAGAGAATTTTCCCCAGCCTTCTCACTATTCATAAATATAGGAAAGGAGCCAGATTTTGGACTTTTAGTCCCTTCTCAGCCAGTTCTTTGCATTTTCAGACCATATTGGGTACTATGGTGTTTGCTCGGCCTTTTCACCTCTGCTGGAGACAACATGGACAATATGGAAGAGAGCAAAAACAAGGCACTTCTCCCCTTCTTTGTCTGCCCCAATGCAGGGCTCAATCCCACAACCGTGAGATTATGACCTGAGCCTAAATTAAGAGTCAGACGCTTGGGGCGCCTGGGTGGCTCAGTCGGTTAAGCATCCAACTTCAGCTCAGGTCATGATCTTGCAGTTGACGAGTTGGAGCCCTGCATCGGGCTCTGCACTGACAGCTCAGATCCTGGAGCTTGCTTCGGATTCTGTGTCTCCCTCTCTCTCTGCCCCTCCCCCGCTCATGCTTTGTCTCTCTCTGTGTCAAAAATAAATAAACATTAAAAAAAATTAAAAAAAAAAAAAGTCAGGCGCTTAACTGTCTGAGTCACCTGGGTGCCCCAGACGACAAATCTTTTGTGAGTTAATTTTAGCCTGAATTTCTCTAACCCTTTTGGTCAAATCGTTTAAAACATCGAATTTTCTGTGTCTTAAGTGAAAGCAGACTCAAGAGTGACTTTTCTGATCTGTTTTCATGTGTGAGAAACAAGTTTTTGTTTTGTTTTAAATGCTAATAAAGGCATATGGCTCTGTGGTTGGTAGGAGGGAAGAAGGCCATGTCTAAGTAGATGCAAGGTGGTCCCTTTCTTTAAAGAAAGATTCTTTCAAGGTAGTGAAGACCAGTGCCTAAGATAGGGTTAATAAGATAATAGCCTAGGACATCTGAACATTGCAGAGCTTTACCTTAGTGTATGTGTAGATAGGAAAGAAAGAAGGGCACATGACTTAGCTCGGCTGAACCTTGTTCAGGTTTGATGAATTACTGTGTCTTAGAATCATAAGTCTTAGATCATTTGGGTCCGTTCCCCATCTCCATTTTACGGATGAGGAAACTAAGACTTTGATTTGGTCAGGGCTGGAACCAGAACCAGGTCTCATGTCTAGTGAGTACAAAGATGTTCTGGAAGTGTGCTCAGCAGGATTTCGAAGGAAGCATGGCTAGGAGGGGGTAGTGGTGAGGTGGAGGGTGAATAGAGTGACAGGAGCACTGGATGGTTTCCCCCAACAGTGGACCAGGAGAAGCAAAATGCTGGAGGAGGGAGAGGTGAGAGTGTCTCCTCTAGGGAAGACTGAGGCTGTCAGTAGTCTGAGGGGGTGCCCTGGGATCCCCATAGCAAGGGGATGTGGAGGCTGCTGTGGCCAGGATTAAGTGCTTTAATTGGCTGGAGAATCTTCGGCACTTATCCTCCTTCTCTTTTTGTTTTCTATTTGACTACTTGGGGACCCCTGAGGTATTGCTTTCCTCGGTAAGAAGCCTGCTTTCTAACATTCCTTTCTTTACATTCTTTTCTAAATAATCCAATTATAATGTATCACTGTTGTGTATTGTTCAAGGGAATAGAAATTATCATCCCTTCATTATTTTGGCTTATGATAATTCTGTGCAGTTTGGAGTTAGTTCTCCAGTTTTATTATTTTCACATATATGGTTATAAGCTACAGTGTTTAGTGGAAAGACCAGGTAGCAAATTCATGATTGGGTGTGTGTGCGTGTGTGTGTGTGTGTGTGTGTGTAGTAAAATCTGTTTTTTACATATATATGTGTAATATATATGTTACTTGATGTCTGCCATCAAGGTTAACTATTTGGCCTCATCTGTAAAATAGGAGTAATAATCATAATAAGGGCTCTGAAGTCAGACAAACTGGATTTGCAAACTGGATTAGGCTCTATCACTTAACTGACTGCAATTTGGGGGAAGTTACTTAGCTTTCTAAGCCTCTATTTCCATTCTTTTGCTATTGAAGGAGAAGGGGATGAAGATTTATTGAGCATCTACTATTAGGTATTGTACTATTCAACTACTTTGCATGTGCTGCCTTGTTTTCCTTGTAGTGGTTCAGTGAGATACAGATGTTATTATCCTTATTTTATATATACGGAAACTGAGTCTTAGAAAGGTTAAGTGATTTGCCTATGTCTTCCCATTAAAAGTCTTGGGAAAATCTTTTGGGAATGACTATTACTGTACTTTCCGAAATGGGATTTTTTTTTCATATGGATTCTGATTCAGTTAATGTTTGCTGAACCTTTTTTAGGTGATAGGCATTATAGTTAATACCAGAATTATTTTATTGTCTTATCACCATTTTATAAATAAGTTAAAGCTCAAGGCTCATCCAAGATTATCCAAATTATAGACGACAGAGCCAGGATATGGACCAAATCTGCCTGATTCCCACCTCATGGTACCTCAGGATTACCTGACTGTGGCCCAGTTGTTTATAGCATTTGTTGACAAAAATGGATTTCATTTCAGCATAAGAATTTGACTATCCCCAGGAAATTAATTACAATGAGATTTGACCTGAATCAGAAAATAATAAAAGGTATTAAAGGAGGAGTAGGGGTGCCTGGGTGGCTTGGTCAGTTGAGCATCTGACTTCAGCTCAGGTCATGATCTTGCAGTTCATGAGTTTGAACCCCATGTCGGCTTTGTGCTGACAGCTCAAAGCCTGGAGCCTACTTTGGATTCTGTGTCTCCCTCTCTCTCTGCTCCTCCCTTGCTCATGCTCTCTGCAACAATGGATTTGTAACAAATTAAAAAAAAAAAAAATGGAGTAGATTAGGAAGAGGGTCTTCCCAGCCATTATTAGCATGTCTGCTCAGAGGCTTTGCAAAGAACAGAAACAGAGAACTGCCATTACTATTAAATTCCCTGGAGGTTGGGAGCCAGGAACAGATTCATTATTTGTTTTCCTGACCTCAGACTCAGGTGTTCTGCATTTCATAAATAGTGAGGACTGGCAAAGATAAAAGTCTCAAATAGAGCTATTCCCCAGTGAGGATCCTGTATGTTAAATATTACTAGTCCATTGAGATAGTTTAAAAACTTTTTTAGTAGCCAGACTTGGTTCAAATCAACCTTTAGGCTGAAGCAACAACAATGGCAGGTTCTGGCAAATTAAGGACTGAATTGGTGACCATAGGCATTGCTTATTCCTTATTCATTCAAGTGACATGTGGGCTCGAACAGCTTATCTAAGCCAGGGACTAAGTCCCTGGGAAGCTGACAAAATTCAAGGGATGTTGCCACAGTAGTACAGTTTCAGGTTGAGGCAGTCACATGAGTATTCCAGATCCAGGAGAGAAGGTCCTCACTCTTGGCCTGGGGAGAGTGGAGGATTGAGGCTGCCGCCTGAGGCCAGCCCCTGGCAAGACCGGTGGGAGCAAACCAGATGAAGAGTGAGCTGGGCATTTGAGGAGAACTGGAAGCCTGAGGAGGCTACAGAGAACAGGAAAGCCAGTGCTAGGGCTTTTCTGCTGTGTGGCAGGGGTGGAGGTTAAAAGTTTGTACTAAAGGACCAATTGGGTTAAAAAAAAAAAGAAGAAGAAGAAGAAAGAAAGAAAGACCATTGGTGACAGGTGGGGAGGGGGCACCTCCTACCCCCATCCACATACACTCTCTCTTCCCCCTGCCTTCCCCCAGCTCATAGAGCCCAAGTGACAACCTTGTGAGCAACTACACAACATAATCCCTCTGCCCCCCAAAACACACACTCAACACAGGGTTCTGCTCTGGACACAGTCCTCTTGCTCTTGGGTCCTGATTGCTTCAGTTGTAGGAAGGGGCCTTCCCTTGGTGTGCTGAAGGTTTAGGGCTTAGGCTGAAGATTTGTGGGCAAAGAGGCTTTTCATGCCTTTATGGAGGGAGGGGCTGAAGCTGTTTTCCATGTTTCAGCCTTGATCCAGGTCTGCCAGAATTGGGAGGGGTGGTAAATGGCTATGGGAGAGGAGGTAGAATTGTTAATCACCTAGCTCCTCAGGGAGGGTGAATATAGAAATAAGAGGTAAGTTCCCCCAGAGGTGTGGAAGTGCATATGTGTGTGTAAACAGGACTTTTGCCAAACTCCCACCTAATCGCCCTGGCCCAGGTCAACTGGCAAGGTGCATGTAGAAGAAGAAATGACCCTGTCCTCTAGAGATGCCCTTTTGTTCCTCTCTTCTTGTGGCCCTGAGATCCTCAGAACCTCTGCTGTATGTCTCTCCACCATGTGACAGGATCTATGACTGGGAAGAAAAAGGAAGAGGGAGGTTCTTATCTAATTACTGGGGTAAACAACCCAGCACAAAAGTTGCAGAAAGTAGAGAGTAGCAAGAAGAAAATATCAGTTCAGTTGCTTTCTTGGAGGCAGGAATATTTGTGCAGAGGCTACTGCAGGGGTAAAAGCAGGCATGAAGGAAGTTGGGGGCAGCAGAGCTAGGGGATGGAAACAGTAAGGAAGTATAGACCTCCAAATTTGGTAGACCATTCAAGAACTCCTGATGGATCCTCAACTGGAGGCCCTGGCTTTGGGAGTGTCTGTCTCCCTTTTCTCAAGCTCCTTCGTTTTTAATTCTTTGGGACATCATGGACCCTTTTCAAAATCCAGTAAGTGCCGTTTCCTCCCAGAACTACACATACAGTGCATGTGAAATTTTGCAGGTTGTGGTAGGGATCCTGGACCCCGGTTGAGAATCCTGCTCCAGCTTCTCTGCTGTTTTTCTGTACTATCTCATTTCTGGTATTGCCAGTTTGGTTTTAGTTGGAGGTGATAAAACGCCAACTCATACCGGCTTACTCTGCGGAAGGAGGACTTATTGACACATATGACTGTGGGAAAGGGCAGGGTGGAGCTGGTCTCTCTTTCAGCATGTTGACTCATTCTTACTGACTTCCTCATGAACCTGGGCCAGGGCTGCCAACTGCTCTGGCTTAGAGCTTTGGATCTTGGCAGGGAATGTGCCACTAACTCCCTTCACTCTCATTTCTCTCCTCTGGAATCTCCTAGCAAATTCCAGAAGAGGAATATGATTGGCTGCTTGGGTTAGGTACTCGTGACTAGGCTAATCACAGCAGTGGAGGGGAGGAGCTGTTCTGTGACCCAGCTTGGATCATAAGCCTGTTCCGCTGCACGGCCAGGGAGGCAGGTTTGTTTGTAGAGGCTTGGTGTTTGAGGAGGGTGGTCCTCTGGAAACAATTGCCCCTGCACTTTTCTCCTCCTACCTGGTAGAGCTCATTGCTCCTGCTCATTCATTCTTTCTCAGCCCCAACAGGGCTTGTGGGGGCATGTGGGAAAGAACTGGAGACCTGTGTTCTGGTCCTAGGACCACCTTCCACCAGGGTTCACTGAATACATACTCTGCTTATACCTCCCTGGGTCTTAGTTTCCTCCTCTGTGCAAACAAGGTTGGACTTATTCTCCAGAAGTGTGTTTGTCCAGCCAACCATCCCTCACGGAACACCTACTATGTACTGAGAATACGGAGATAGAGAGACAAGTCCCTTCCTCCCAGAGTTCCCATTCTTTTTTTTTTTTTTTTTAATTTATTTATTTATTTATTTTGAGAGAGAGAGCACAAGCAGAGGAGGGGCAGAGAGAGGGAGAGACAGAATCCCAAGCAGGCTCTGCACCATCAGTGCAGAGCCCGATGTGGGGCTTGAACTCAAGAACTGTGAGATCATGACCTGAGCCGAGATCAAGAGTCAGATGCTTAACTCACTGAACCACCCAGGCACCCCAAGTTCCCATTCTTAAAGTGTGAAAATAGAGGTATGCATTAGGGTTCCAGGACACTGAGATTCTGTGCCCCTATTTATTGTGGACCCAGGCAAAACCTTCTTTCCCAGAAAGACACCAGCTTACTGTGGCTCCTCTTGCCCTCCATTCTTTGGAAGCTGCCATTTGGGCAAGGAGGGTAATTTGTCTCTACCCACTTCATCATGCCTCTCCGATTCTAAGAGAAAACACTAGTTTGGTTTTCCCTCTTGCTTTGGACAAATACTTCGTAGTGCTTTTCTGCTGGCATTTCCCCCTCCCCACTTCCCCACAATCGACTTCAACCCCCAGACCTCTCTTGTCATCTCAGTTGCCAGGGTGCTTTCTTGCTTGTTCAGGCAGAGGGGGCTTTTGTTGGCTTGAATTCAGCTGGAAGCAGGGGAAGAAAAGCCAGTTGGAAAAGAAACATTTCATCCTAGCCTGGGAACGGAAACCAAGGGCAGGCTCTGCTTTTCCTATGTCCCAGCCAAGAACCTGATCACCTCCAGTAAGGCAGGCTAAGAGCATACAGCCTGAGACCTGGTGGGTGGGAGGAGTGTGATCAGTGTCCTTACTCCACTCGTGGGACCAGGCCACAGCTCAAGTGCCAGGCATAGTTAAGTTGTTCTTAATACATGTTTGCTGTTTTAAATACAACCGTCTTAGGGTACCTAAGTGGCTCAGTTGGTTAAGCATCTGACTTTGGCTCAAGTCATGATCTCATGGTTTGTGGGTTCGAGCCCCACGTCGGGCTCTGTGCTTGATAGCTCAGAGCCTGGAGCCTGCTTCAGATTCTGTGTCTCCCTCCCTCTCTCTCTGACCCTCCCCTGCTTGTGTTCTGTCTCTTTCTCTCAAGAATAAACATAAATTAAAAAAAATTTTTTTTAATAAAAAAATAGATACAACTGTCTTTTCATGTCTGGGGATGGGGCAGAAATTGGCTCTTTTATTTAGGTTACTTTTTTGTTTGTTTTGATTACATAGTCATGTAAGTGATACATTATTTTATTTATTTTTTAAAGCTTCTTTTAAGTTTCTTTTAAGTTTGACATTCTTTTAAGTTTATTTATTTTTGAGAGTGAGAGAGAGTGAGCAGGGGAGGGGCAGAGAGAAGAAGAGAAAGAATCCCAAGCAGGCCCCACACTGCCAACATGGAGCCTGACACAGGGCTCAAACCCACGAACCTGAGCTGAAATCAAGAGTTTGACACTTAACCGACTGAGCCACCCAGGCGCCCTGGTATGTAATTTTAAAAGTGCCTTCTCGGGGCACCTCGTCTTTTCTCCCCTGAGTCGGTTACTAGTCTCTCTGAGAAGTGGCATCTCCACCACCTTGTTGCTCCAACCAGAACTTGGGGGTTCTTCCTGACTGTGCATTTTCTCATTTCCTTCCCCTACACATTCAAACAGATGATACAGGCCAAGGTCTTCCCTCTTGATACCTCTCATCTTCTTCTGGTCAGTCCCTCCACTGTGGCCTTAGTTCAGGCCCTTGAAATCCAAACTCTCTGGATTATTGCAGTTGTCACCAGTCCTTTCTCTTCACAGCAGCCAGAGAGATCTTTCTGAAATGCAAATCTTATCACATGCTTGCCCTGCTTAGAATCTTTCAATGGCTTCCCTCTAATCCTGGGATAAAGTCTAGCAGCTCCTTAATAAGACATACAAGTTTGTTCTTGAGTTTCTCTCTTGAGCTTTTATCTTTCCTTACTCCTCCCCATCCACCCCAATGCCTTTCTGTTCCTCCTGCCTGGGATATGTTTCTCTTGCCTGTCTTTTATCATCCTTTATTTTTTTTTTATTTTATTTATTTTTTTAAGTAGGCTTCACACCCAACATGGAGCTTGAACTCATGACCCTGGGATCAAGAGTCGGATGCTCTGCTGACTGAGCCAGCCAGGTGCCCCGTTCTTATCATCCTTTAAAGTGTGTGATAACTACAAAGGTTAGGTTCCCCTCCCCTGGGCTACCATAGTGCCCTGTGCTTACCTCTGTCATTATATCACATTGTCCATCTCTTTGCTGGTTTGTGAACTCCTTCAGCTTTGGGGCTGTGTCTTTTTTTGTTTCTGGTAACAAAGTATTACAAGCAAAGTATAATTCCTGATAGTAGAAGGAGCATGGATTTGGGTTGTTCGAGGAATTTGTCAATCTGAGTTTTCAAATTTATTAGCATGAAGTTGTGCATAATATTCCCTTTCCCTTTTAGCATCTGTGGAATCAGTAGTGATGTTACATCATTCCTGACATTGCCAACTTTTTTTTTCCTGATCATTCTGGCTAGAAGTTCAATTTTATTGATCAAAGAGACAGGGTTTTTTTTGTTTTTGTTTTTGTTTTTTTGTCTTGTTTTTAGGGTTTATTTATTTTTGAGAGAGAGAGAGAGAGACAGACAGAGCACGAGTGGGGAAGGGGTAGAGAGGAAGAAGACACAGAATCTGAAGCAGGCCCCAGGCTCTGAGCTGTCAGTACAGAGCCCAATGAGGGGCTGGAACTCAAAAGCTGCAAGTTGATGACCTGAGCTGAAGTCGGGCACTTAACAGACTGAGCCACCCAGGTGCCCCAAGAACAAGATTTTTATTTCATTGATTTCTATTTTTATTTCATTGTTTCTGTTTTCTATTTTATTTATTTTTTATTTTGTTATGCTTTATTGGTATAATTGACATATTAGTTTCAAGTATACAGCATATTTGATTTGATATGTATATATTGCAAAATGATCACCATAAGTCTAGTTAACATACATCTGTTTTCTAGTTTATTGATTTTCATTTTGATCCTCATTTCCTTTCTTCTGCATAATTTAGGCTTTATTCTTTTTCTGGTTTCTCTAAGGTGGAAGCTGAGGTCACTGATTTGAGGTCTTTCTTCTTTTCTTTTTTAATTTTTTTTTTTTCCAACGTTTTTATTTATTTTTGGGACAGAGAGAGACAGAGCATGAACGGGGGAGGGGCAGAGAGAGAAGGAGACACAGAATCGGAAACAGGCTCCAGGCTCTGAGCCATCAGCCCAGAGCCTGACGCGGGGCTCGAACTCACGGTCCGCGAGATCGTGACCTGGCTGAAGCCGGACGCTTAACCGACTGCGCCACCCAGGCGCCCCTCTTCTTTTCTAATATAAGCATTTAGTGCTATAAAATTTCCCCTAAGGATTGCTTTAAGTGACATCCCACAAATCTTGATGTGTTATATTTTCATTTTCATTCCATTCAAAATACTTTTTAAAAAAATTTTATTTATTTATTTTGAGAGAGAGAGTGCACATGCAAGCCAAGGAGAGGCAGAGAGAGAGAATCCCAAGTAGGTTCTGTGCTGTAAGTACAGAGCCCAACACAAGGCTCAAGCCCAAGAACCATGAGATCATGACCTGAGCCAAAATCAAGAGATGGAAGCTTAACTGACTGAGCCACCCAGGCACCCCTCAAAATACTTTCTAATTTCTCATTCAATTTCTTTTTTGACCTATGGGTTATTTAGCAATATGTTAGTTTTCAAGTATTTTGGGAATTTTCCTGAGATCTTCTGTTTGTGACTTCTAATTTAATTTTATTATGGTTAGAGAACATACTTTTTATGACTTGAATCCTTTTAAATCTATTGAGCTTTGTATTGTGGCCCAGAATGAGGTCCATGTTAGTAAATGTTCCATGTTCACATGAAGAGAATGAGTATTCTGCTGTTGGTGGTGAAATTTTCTATAGATGTCAGTTAGGTCAGGTTTATTGATTTTGAGCTGTTCGAGACTTCTGTGTCCTCACTGATTTCCTGTCTATATCAGTTCTCAAAGAAGGGTATTGAAATCTGACTGTAATTGTGGATTTGTTTCTCCTTGTAATTCTATCCATTTTTGCT